CCGCTCTTTCAAGAACTTCCCTGGCCACGAGAACTCCTTCACGCAAGCAATCGCGACGATTCACCAACTGCGGTTTGAGAACTGCTGTAACGATTGGCAAACTCCTCCGGATTCTTCTGCGAATTGATCGCGCCTGTTCGCGAAACCTTTGCGCGCTTGTTCTTTCCTCATCGCCAAGCTTGCTTCGCAGCACCAGAAGAATCGATCGCGGAATAAGATTTTCGGAAGAAGCCCTCGTCCTTCAATGAACTCCTGCGGCCGAACTCCTGCATGGAATTCACGCTCTCGCCTGGTTGCACGTGAACGCCGCGAACCCCTCTGCGAACAACACGAGAACTCGCGAGATCGAAACCTCGCGCGATTTCTGTCGCGAACCCAAATTTGCGATATGAGTTCTGCGGATCTCGCCGACGAAAGAACCTCTGAAGTGCTTCCTGGAGTCCGAATCGTTCGCCCGTTCGCCGTTTTGCATGCTTCGCTGAAGCGAAACTGCTGCAAACCGCAACCCTTACCGAATTCCGCCCTCTTCGATTTTTCTCCTGTTCCGATCCTTGAGGAAATTTTTTTTCCCTGCCCCACTTCGCTCTGATACCTATTGTTAAGAAATTAGGGCGAAGAAAAACAAGAATCTACACAAATCCAGAAGAACATAGAGATTTAACGAAGTTCGGGAAAGATGCCTACGTCCTCGGGAGCAGATCGGCGAATTTCACTATTTCAGAATAGTCCAGTTCATGCCTATAGGTTACACATCATATATATAGATAAAACTCACAGATAAAATTAATAATATGCCCTCGCTCCCCCCAACCCACTAAATTCCAAGAGACACTTTTAATTTCAAGAGACACTCCTCTTCATTCCAGGAGACACATCTCTTCAATTCCAAGAGACACTTCTCTTAATTCCAGGAGATACACCTCTTCAATTCCAAGAGACTCCAAATTCTGGTATATGAGCCATACTTAACAGGGTTATGGATCACAAGTGAGCAACATATAAGTGTTGGGTTTGTATGTTTGCATTGGGGCAAGGATTGACTCGAGGGATAAGGCAAAATAGGATAAACGTCCAATACATGCCATTTTGGATTTACCAAGTAGATTGAGCTTTCCATATGCAGTGACCATCATCTGCCTTTTTAAAAGGGCATATTGATGCACAAAATTGAAGCAATGCGGTGTGATGTGAGGTGTGCGCTTCTCATTTTTATCATGTCTAGTGAGTTGTGAAAACACGTGCTTTGCTTGTTCGAGCACTCGTACCTTCACATGAAATGCTTGTGTGAAGCGCTTCATTGTTTTGATTTAGTGGTACTAATTTATTTAATAATTTAAAATTGATCGATCCTCACCTCATCACTGTCACATATTGTGTCTTCTCCCTAAATTGAAGAACTGTAGCTCTATTGAGCACTTTCACACTATTGTAGTTGTGTCGACTCACACCTCTCTGACACCATCGCGGCTCCCTTGACCTTCCCTTCAACTATGGTAACGTTAGTGGCCTTCTTTTTTAGTGTGTTGTTGGCGGTGGGCTGATCACTCAATTCATGGTAGTTTATTTATTCAAGTTATTTTCAGAATGTTTAGGGTTCGATGATTAACACTTCTACTCACAAAAAATTTGATGGTTTGAGATTTGCTAAAGCTAGGATTTGTTATGTGATTTAAGGTTTATTGATTAACACTTTAATATACAAATGGCATTTGTGATTTGATTTAAAAAATAGGCTAGTCATCAAATGTCATTTGTGACTTTTATATGGTTTTAGCAAATTCTGTAATTATTTATGTAATCTCTCGTTCTCTACATGATATTTAGTAAACTTAATGGAGTATATATTTAATTATTTAGAATTAAATGAATATATGACATTTAATAGGACACAATGGAGAAAAATGATTCATGTAACCGACCTCACTTAGTGGGAAAAACACTTTGTTGTTGTTGTTGTTGTATTATTTACATACAAAAAAACTTATATATGCTCAATCATAATATGAGGAGAAAAGATCTGACTTAAAGTAGCAAAGTTAAAATTCAAGTTAGATATCCTTTTTCATTTTCGCATATATTTTGATAAAGAGATAAATTGAGGTGTATCTTGAAGCAAGAAGCGTATTATCAATCTTTATGGAGCATCTAAAAGAAGTAATGTTACCAAATATAAGAAAATGCTTTGGATATAAGAGGTGACTTGCTTTCTTATCAAGAAATACAGAAAAAATAAATGAAGTTCAAATGTAGCATAATGAGAAGGTGGTAGATAATACTAAATAATTAGATATGCCAATATCCTTGCACTTTGATAAGTGATCCAAGTTCTGGATCGAAGAGTGTTGATGCATCTGTAATGAAATGTCCTATAAATCATTTTCTTTATAAAAAACTTGAAAAATAGTTTACAAGACAATAATTTGAGACAAATGCGATTTAAAGAATGAAAATGAGGAAAAAAGAGAGAATTGTGCAATACATGGTTGGGTGATTTTATCATGCAGATATTCCTTCAATGTAGTACAACGGTATTTTTTTGATCATATGGTAGAGACTTTTGCATTATATGGGATCAATCTTTGACTACCATCCTATTATGAGTTAAGAGTCCCTTCACTTGAAAGAGAAATACAGGCAACAATGAAGGATGTGGAGCATTAAAAATAGTTTACAGGGAAGGAATACACTTTTATGGCACCTTTATGACAAGTTCATGAAATGATTGTAGAGGGTGTTCTATAGTAATTTTTTTTTTGTTAATTACCATCAAGCGCAATATTCTTGAATTTAATGCATCTGAATATTCAAAGCTTGCTTTGAAACTTTTTTAAACTTTTAGATGCACAAATAAAAAGATTAAAGGGGATAATATGCTTGAATTGGTTATAAATAACTATTCTACTTACTTTTAGGTTAGTGATTCATAGTGTTTAACATATAAACTGTATACATTTTTTTTTCTCACATTTAGAGATTTTGAGCTCTTCTTAAGTTCTTATCAATTTGTTCTTAACATGATAAGAGGATATACTAGCGGTGCAAAATTGATGAGATCGAACTTCTTTTTTTTTGTTACTTCTTTTCTCATTTTTATGCGAATATAACTAATTTAAAATTTACGACTCATTTGTTTTTTGAAAATTGGATAAAATTTAGATTTAATGTTGATTATAAGCAAAAGAAAGAAACTATACTTAAGACTATATTTTAAAAATATTGAGGATTATGCTTTGAAGTTTACAAATTTATTAGTGAAGATGTTTAGATTGGTCGATGGTGATGAGATTGACAAATTGATTGTGTTTATGATGAATTTGAAAGAGTGAATGATGTAATTCGTAGTGAATTTGGAGTGGACAAAAAGAAATAGTGTAAACTTTGACAATTATTGCATTAAGCCAGATGTTATCTTAATTTAGAGATTTTTTATAAAATACTAGCTATAATACAATGAGATGGATAATTGATGGCTGATTTCTATGCAGTTATTAGTAGTTAATGCGAGATTCAAATTATAAAATGACCATAGATTAATATAGATATATTTTTATTTATATTGGTTCCCTATTCTCAATTGAGTTCATCGTCTATATTAGAGATAAGAAATTCCTGATTATAGTTAATTAAAGTGTGAAGTGCCAAAATAGTCCTCGACTATTTACATGGGGTTGTTTTAGTTCCAGAGTTCATAGAAGTGCCAATGTAGTCCCCATATTGTTTATATTGAGGTTGAAATAGTCCCTATGGAGGATTCTTGGAGCTTAATTTTAAAATAGTCAAATGACTATTTTGATACTTATATAAACTCTGGGACTAAAACGGCTCCATGTAAATAGTCGGGGACTATTTTAGCACTTTTCTCATTAATTAAAACTTCCATATAATTTTGAATTTCTCTAATGATTAAAATATTTTTTAAATGTTGGATTATAAGCTTAATACAACAAAATGGTGGGAGATATATGATGCATTAACCTTAACTTTATAAAAATTAGCTATTAAGATTTTATGATTAACGTATAATGTCTTCAAAAATAAGAATAATTTTTTTTTTTTTTATACAATGTACATATTTTATGTATTTTATTTAGTCTTTTGTTTCACATATTCATATAAATAAGAGAAATGAATTTGATCGAAAGCGTTTAGATGATTTATTGTTCATCAAATACCTCTAAAATTCGAAAAAGAAGATTCACTTTGAGAGATGATTCGTATACTTTGGATTCTATTGGTGAAAATTGTAGTGGTTAATTAGAGAAATGAAAGATACTAGAGAGCAACATTTTGGTGATGAATTCAACTTTGAGGCTAATGGAGACAAATTAAAGAGGCATGAGGAATGTGATTTGTAAGATTTGGTAGGTTAAGAACAAAACGTTTAGCCGCAATGGGGGTGATTTTGTCTCAACCGGCAGCCACTTTTGTTATTTAAGAAAGGAAATATGTGATCAACTTACAAGGTGATGAAAAAGAAGATGATAATAATGATTTTTGAGGATGGAAAATTTCTACTTGAAGGAGAAAGATTATGTGAATGATTGAGTCTAGAGTATCAATGGAGTTGGAGAATCTACTAGAGGAAGATACTCACCACAAGGTATGATAAAAAAGAGACTTCTCGCTTTGGAGAGAAAAGTCATTTTAATTTTGTAGTAAAATAATACAACATGGAGGCCCGAAAGTCAGATTTTCCCCTCTAGAAGTTATAATCTCTTTGGAGAGGTATCCTTATCTGATTGATAATCTTTTAGAGAACCTTCCAAAAACACCTAAAATTTCTTTGAAATCAATTCTATCCTCTTAGTATGAACTCAGATCACAACATTAAGAGGTTAGCATAGGATTGAGTCTGCATTCCAAGGAGATTTGGTTTGGTTGCACTCGTGGAAAGACTAAATTATATGGTCAAGTTAATTCATTACAGATTATTTCATATATTGCCGCAGATTGGCGATAATGCTTTTGTTTTAGACTTGCCGTTTTACAGGAATATTTAGACATCAGTGTTAAGAATACGAGGTTATTTGAAACTTCACTATCAGAAGGCGAGAGAGCATGGGAAAATTATTCCTCTAATAGAAAATCAAACATCGACACCTTGAATAGATGCAATGGCCCGTGATGTTTTGTTTGATTAAAAAATTATAAGAAATTTACTTTTAACGGAGTTCTAAAATAATCAATTTATACATCGATGCTAGTTTTTAAATTGAGCATTATGTGCTAGTCTAATCAACTCAAATTAATGAATTGTTGCAATGATTAAATGATGTTAAATAGTAAGTTTATTTAATGCTCTTCTCAATATTTTTTTATAGTTCTCAACCTCTAGCTCTTGATTTACAATCAATAAATATAGGTTTTCAACGATCGAACAATGAATATTATTAGTATATGAAATGAAATGCTCTGTCTAATTTTTGGTTTGTTTATTTGCTTGTTTAAGTACTCCTGTAATTAATTTAGTCAACCAAGTTGTAGCCAAGTTCAATTCTAAAAAAAATTTAAATAATACATATATGTGAAATCTTGGCTTGAGCTCGGACTGTACATACACGACTCTTAGAATGATCAAACGAGGTTTGATCTAAGGTGTGATTGTTTTGATTGTCTGAGTTCATTTACAGCCTTAATCGAAACATGTAAAAAAGTAAAATTTCCCTTCTTTTCAGAAACCAGCAAGTCCTTTTAAACATTTTCAAAATTACGAGGTGAAAATAAGTCCAGAAATTGTTTTAAGACTGTAAATTTAGAGTTTTTCTGGTCTAAAGTCAGTCAAAACGGAAGTTTCTTTACCAGATGAAACTCTTGGATTCTCATATAACTCTTCAGTTCTGGAAGAAACTTCCAATTTTGAATTAATTTCTTTCGTTATACTTAGGGTCTGTTTGGGGCGACGGTGATTTGCCGCACCACAGTTTTTTCTGTTGTGTATTGCCTGTTTTTTTTCAAAAATTCAGCTGCATTTTCTCGCCAACTCTGCTAAGTGCGGTGGCTATTAGAAAAGCTACGGTATGACTTTTTCAAAAATAAAAAATAATAATAACTACTGCAGTTTTTTAAAGAGCAGCTTCTTCTGCAACAGTTTCTTCATACAGTTGCAATCGGCCCAAATAGACCGTCGAATACTTTTTCATGTAAGGTCATCTTTTAGACAAGCTGCATTTCAGCTTTTGCAAATCTTTTTTTCAACTAAGATTTTATATTTTTCAATAACGGTATCTTCGGACGCCTTATTGTCTCTCACCTCGCTACTTTCACTGTCAGCGGTCTTATTCCACCGTCACCCCAGGAATACCCTATCTTGGGTCTTAATCTCTTAAGGCTCCTTGCACAAAACCGAATAGCAGAATTTCACACCGAGTTAGAACTCCTTTCCCCCACTGCATTGGAGAATCCTTGCATCAAACATGCTGTTGAGCTCGAGCAGTCTTTCATGGAGGGTGCTTATAATCGCGTTTTGAGTGCGAGGAAGTCTGTCCCTCATGAATCGTATGTATATTTCATGGATCTCCTTGCAAAAACTGTCAGGTAATTCTTATGCTTCCATTTGTCAAATTAATCAGATTTATTTTTCTACTACTTTAAAGATAGCTAAGATTTGTTTGGGGTGGCTGCAATATTTTATAAAAATGTTTGTAAAATTGCGGTGGTAAAAACAATCTTAGAAAGTTGTGTAATTATAATTATTTAATTCTTTCTGAAAAGTCAAACAACAGCTTCCATACAACCGCCACCATACAACCGCCACAATTTAACTGACCTGGTTGCAAAATACAACTTCCCACCCCAAATATCTATAAAACAACAAGAAAACCATTCCCAAACAGACCCTTGATGACCGTCAGATCTGCTTTTACTTTGCAGGGATGAGATTGCAGGCTGCAGCGAGAAAGCTTATGATTCATTGTCTGTCGCTGATGCAAAGAAAATCCTGATGTATACATCTGATCAGGAGCTTCAAGATTACATTTCTGAGGTAGGTTTATTTTTCATGGTATATCATTTAATTTGTTATGGGGTAGCTTGTTGATTCCGAAGGGAAAAAGTTTTGGGTGAGGTTAAGATGGATTTTAAAATCCATTGATTTACTTTGACATGAGTGCAGCATAGGAGTTGATTGATTATCCATGTATTGTGTTCATGTGAAAGCAAATCAAAGGATTTGAAATTTGATCCCAACCCAACTTTACGCTTTTTGTAAATAATTTTGATTGTTGCTAACAGTTTGGATTTGAGCCTACCTATTATAAAATAAATCCTTCTTAGTTGTAGATTGTGACAGTAAATGTCACGACCCGACCTGGGGTTAGAAGTAACCAAGGCAGAAACAAACATTCAGATAATGATAATTGAAATTCTTCTATTTTCTATTTTTATTTTCTATAACTAATATTTAATCATTTTGAAATAAATGCAAGAGCCACTACAAAAATAATTTGAAGTAATACAGTTAAACTTTTACCTTAGATCAGGTTGTCCATATCTTTTTTAGATACCCTTCTCTATTATTCATTATTATTTTGCAATATCAACCTGAAAATATTAATTTAAAACAACATAAGCTAGCAAGCAAATGAATACTCTCACACCTAAACTATAATAACATAACGAAAAGGGAACAATATAATTACTAGTCAGAATACTATGAATCAATATAAAAGCACTGGACATTTTAATTTTTCAGATATGATAATTCACGATAGTTCATAACATTTAATGTGTTTTACTATATTAATAACATATTTATATTATTTTATATCTTTACAACCTTCATATGAGCACTCTTTGAAATTGTATTAATGAAGTTACATAAATGTCAATATCATTTTTTATTTATGTGCACGAGTATCTTAGAGTCCCACAAAAAGTACCTAAGGGAAGTAAACTTCATCATAGTCAATCATACACGCAATCAGTCTTTGCAGCTCATATCATTCATACATTATTTTTATTTAATTCTACATTTAAATAATGCATAATAGTACTTTTAAAATATATATTCATCACAATGATATGACCAACATCTAAAGAGCATATAAATCAAAGTAAAACGGGCAATTAGCTCTTAGTAAAAATTAATGAATTTGGTTTAGAATAAACAAAAAAAAGTAATAAAAACTTAAAAGATGAGTACTTACCTTGAATTTGCTTTATGAAATGATCCCTTTCAAATTTTTAAACTCTCTTTCACTACATAAATTCTCTCTCCTTGTTATGTTTCATAATAGTCTAATATTAATATGTAACAATTTACAATTAAATTAACTATAAAAATTACTAAATAAACATCACTCTTGGCTCCTTATCTCTTCTTTTGCACAATCCGATCTCGATCTCATTAGTCCTTTAATTCAATTGCGTGTTCAGATTTAAACATTAAAATTAATTCATAAAGTTTAATATACCTTCATGACATTTTAATTAAAATAATTTATACTATTAAAAAATAAAATCCATAAAGCCTTACCTTAACATTCATTCAATAGCTTGATTTGCCTTCTTGCAACATGAACCAAAACCATAAGCATTCTTGATAGACTTTATGTCATTAATTAACATGAAGCTCTATTACTATCTTAAACATAAATCAATTTAATATATATACTATCTGACTAAAAGAAAACTAACCATTTTTTTTCCTTTTAAAGGCTTAGTTCAGTTTCCTCGGTTAGGGCACAAGCTTCGTCCTTCCGATTCGGCTCCCTCTTCCAGGAAACCGCTCAGTTTCCTCACCTCCTCCTTCCTCTTTTTCACGAAAAAATATTACATCAGGACTCCTAACGTAGAGCTACATTCGGATTGGGATATTGGACTGTTACGGGAATATTCCATCTGCGTTATTTGTAAAAATGATATGTTATTCCAGTATTATATGGTGTTATTCGAGTATTTTGTGGTGTTCTTGGAATATTCGATCGGGCTACTTGATTTGGGGCTATGTTATTCGGCATATTCTCCGTGCTATTCCAATTTCCACCATGTTATTGGAATAACACAGCCCCAAATCAAGTAATGCGGGGGAATATTATAATAACACTTCAGCCCCAAATCAAGTAATGCAATAAAATATTCCAATAACACCGCAAAATAATCGAATAACACCATATAATACTCGAATAACACATCATTTTTACATATAACACAGATGGAATATTTCCGTAACACAGCCGAATATTCCAATCCTAACGTAGCTCTACGTTAGGAGTCCTGACGTAATATTTTTCCCTTCTTCACACAGAAAATGTGCACAGAGCTTGCTCTCAGCCACACACAATATAACTCCCGCAGGAGGCTCGGTTTGACATCCTTTCGTGCACAGGGGCACTCAGAGCCTCTTGACTATAAATTCGTTTGGTTTGCCTTTCCCTGTATACGGCTCACCTCCTTTCTTGCACGCATCCACGCATGTTTCTTCTGGTCGCCTCGACTAAGGTTGCACATTTGACCCCCGTCTTACTGTTCCTTCACTAAGTCACCTACACAGTTCCTCTCTTCTGCTTCTCTATCTCTGTCTCTCACTAGCTCTTTTTTTTTTTACTCCAGTTTGAGCTATAATTATGAAGAAATAGTTGAAATGGCGATTGATTCAAAGCAACACAGATCCATTAAAATTCATTTTATTTTATTGCCTTTTATTTAATTATTTATCTCAATTATCACAATAAAGGTTTCATATCTATTAAAGATTTATGGGACGGATGCAAATGTTTCAAGTCAAGGTCAACGCAGTGCTAGCTTAATGTCACGGACAAATAGTCCCACATTGGCTAGGTGTAGAGCCGAAAAACAGTATTTAAGTCCTGGGCTGCCCACCACCCATAAGGGCTCTTTTGGGAGGTGACAAGTGGTATCAAAG